GTTACCCTCTGTCTACATGGGACACTTTTCCTCTGCAAGAAGCCGATGCAAGGATTGGACTTTTCCCCCAGCTTTGGAAATAGAGTTGGCAGGCCAGCACACGTTCTGTCGCTGTGCAATTAGAAAAAGGTGCGCCCACTGGGAGATCAGTCACTAAGGGGCAACCCATCAGTGGACCAGCCAACTGGGGGCGAGCCCCAACTCCTGCCTCCTTACACAGGGACCCTCGTGCAGGACTTATGATAGACACATCTACCCGCACAACTGCCAGGGCTTATGATAACATTTGAATATTTCAGGATCAAAGATGCCTCCTCAAACTTAATTACTTAAAAAAAAAAAAAAAAGCCTAGTACATCCTATCCCATTGCCCAGCCTCTCCCCTGCCCTCTATCTTACAGAGGAGTTTGTAAGATCCTATTTTTGATGTGGCCATTCTTATTTTGGTAGTAAAGGCCACAGGGGGTACCTATTCCGTGGCACTTTATTTTATTTACTTTACCAGGATGTTAATTTGTGGTCTAGGCACTAACATTGATAACTTGAAATACGCAAGAGGTAGTCCAAACCCAAACAACTAACAGGAGTTATCGGTGTTTAATTACTGAGGCAGTTAAATAGTGCCGTAAACGAGTTCATCTCTGGTTGCAGCCATAACCCATGCAGTTTGGAATTGAAAGAAGGGATGATAAAAGGTGGCAATACAACATGAGAACGTCCATGAGTTTATTTTAATTAGTAAACTGGAATATACAGTAGTAACTGTTTGGTCTGTCCACCACATTGGAATCTTAGGGAAGTGCATAAAATTACAGGAGCATATAATTGGTGTACCAAACTCATTTTCTTATGTTACCACATCTGCCATCTTCAGGTTATTAAAAGCCTTTAAACCAGTCATCTTCAAAGAGATCTAATTGTCAATATGGTCTTTATACATTATTCCCGTTAGCACAGAGCAGAAAAGATATAAACAGGCACTAAAATCTGCACAAATTTTCTGGGCACACCTTTCTTATTTCAAGTTCAAGAAAGATCAGTAAATGTTAATGAGGATTGAAAACTATTCTTTAGATCCTGGTTTCCTCATTCAATGCACAGGGCAACCAGCCCATAAAGGACAAATTATTAACATTATAACCTCAATCAGACTTTGAAAAAGTTAATTCATTAGTTCCAGGAAGTTCTGTGATCTTTTTGTGTATAGGTGGCCCTCCAAAAAAGACTGTTTCCCAAGGTATAAATAATATATCACAGCCACAAAAATAAGCTTAGGTTCTGACATTCCTAGATGAGCAATTATATGTTGTTTCATCTACTTATTCTGGCTAGATAATCCAGGAAAACTTCTAGAATGGTTTTCACACTCTGACCACCCTTCACCCACCTACCACCACACACCCATGAAAGAGACTTTTCCCAACAGGAGAAATGGAGTTAACAGAACAAAACAAAACAGAAAGGAAGACATCTTTTCCCTCTCCTCTGACATTTTACAATAGGAAAAGAAATCCCCAAATATAGACAGGTGTGAAATAGGAAGACAAGATATGAAAAAAGGTAAGATGATATTAGCCTTGCATTAATGATTATTAAAGATTGACTATAGGTTTATTATATATGAAATCTGTGTTCCTTGAAACCATCCCACTGAGGAGTACAAGTGGTAGTTAATTGAAAGTAATTAATTAATGGTGTGTATTGTACTCTCCAATATTATGGGATTTCCATCTCTCCTACTTATTTCTGAGAGTTCTCAGGGTATACCTAACTTGTCCTTAAAATGTGACCACTCAGCCTGCATTGATTCCTTCAGCTTCTGCTGGTCATTTTGATAGAAGGTGCCTTCCCTCTGGTCTATCTGAGGCTTTCTTTCCCTTGGGCTGCCGCTTTCTGTTGCGTGCTATTGGCACTCTGGAACCCTCATGCTCTTGGGGTCATTTACTGCACTGAAACTGTACTAAAGTCCATACCTTTTGTGTCCATTCACATTTTTAGCTGAGAAGATGAATCTATAGGAGGCTGGGTTAAGGGACAAATCCAAGAGACAAACCCCATGTTGAACTTGGAATCATCTAGACACTGAGGCCTGTGGTCTCAATTTCCACTAGGAAGACTTCTTGACTAGGAGGCCTCTAGTCTCTTGTGTGAATAACCATTTCTCACTGGTGTTCTCAACATATCTGAATCCTGGATGTGGTACAGCTTGGGCTGCAACCGGAGTCTGGCCTATGTATGCATGTATTTGACCTCCAGGTCCTAGAGGATGATATTTCCTTCCAAGCCCTGATTTCATCTCTGAATCACTGATCAATAGCTTTGTCCCAGCTGTACATAATCCAATACATTGACTCAGCCATCCTTAAAGGACGAAATTTCATGGATAACTCTATTCCAGATTTCAAATCTCTCTCTACATATAGATCTATTTTCTTTACTATCTCTGTTAAAAAATTATTGTAAGTAGCAAAGTTTACAATATATTTGAATGCAAGCATGGTTTATCTGTACATATGGGTCAAAACAAAGCATTTATTTACTGCTATTTAGCTACAATGTTAGGAAACTGCCATTGCACATACTCCAGTGTGAAATTTCAGTAAGTACTTTTCAGTGTCTATGTGCAGGATTATTTTAAGCTCACTACATTTTAATGTTATTGCTGCAGTTATAAGACATCAGCTACTAATTATGATAATGTTTTGTTTACTTTATATATCAAGAAAAAAAGCCATTAGGTTAAAATTATCTACTATATCTCAATTACATTGTTTAAGACACTTACCAATATCTTTCAGGATAAAATCTGGAATAAATCAGTTAAGTTAATATTCTTGATAACTTTAAGATGAAATAACCCTTTGTTCTCAAATTTAAATACTTCATATTTTTAGTATGTTTGTGAGCTAACAATAGAAAAGCATGGCAAATTCCAAGACAATGGTATTTTCCTTAGACTAAGGAATTAAGAATTAAGGCTGAACAAGGGGCAGTATGTGTTGAGGGTACACAGCTATGGATTTTGGCCCGCTGTGCCTCTGTGCTTGTCCCATCAAATAGCTCCTGCAGTCATATTTGTCCCACTGTGCGCTTTGCTATCTTTCTCCCTGCAGCTCCCTTCCTTCTTTTAGCAATGATGATAATGATAATAACAGTAAACATATAAGACAGTGAGAACAGTAAAATATTTGCAGCAAGTTATTTCCCTAAATCAGATTTCTAGGTAACTAAGCTTTATTAAAGTATAAAAGCTTTACCTATTTTTGATGGACTTATTTATAAAATATATAGAAGATATGAAAAATAATCATATGTAACCATGGTTTTTAACATTTTCTTTTTTTTTTTTCTTTTTCTTTTGGTTTTTAACATTTTCTTAATGAATAATTGTTTTGAATTACGGAACACTGATGCCTCTTGGATTCATTCATTCATTCATTCATCCATCAATTCAACAAATATTTACTAAGTACTACCATGTTCCCAGAACTGTAGGGATAGAGCAGTGAGTGAACACAACATACAAAAAGTGCTGCCCGATGACACTCACATTCTAGCTGATAGGTAGGATGTTTATCTCCCTAACAAGAGGGCCCTGACCGCCACAGTTTGGGTTGTTCTGTCTCCTTCTTCTGCTGTCAGCTGTCACCTCTTGCTGGCAACATGTCGCTCCTGATCTGGGTCAGCACTGCAGTCTTTTCCTAAGCCTCTCATCCAGCCAATAGCACCATATCCCTGGCTGGAGCCCATGCAGCTCAGCTTGTGCCCGCGCTAAATGCACTGCTCCCTGCCCTTCTGAGCACTCCCCTCATCCTTACTCTGAGTTTGGAGTCTTCCCTTGTTTCCTTTCTTTATTAGTGTGACTCAACTCTAATGATCCAATTTAGGGATCAGGTCTCTGTGCCATTGTTCCTGGGAAGATGAATGCATCTGCGTGTAAATGAAACTCTTAGAAGAGTAGCCATCACCAAGGGTTATTACATACAGATATCACAGTACAAAACACTATCTTTCTTACGGTTGTGGTGGCTAACCTGATAATTCTGGACTTCCACGAAAACTTTAAAAGGCAGAGACCGAAGCTTGCAAAGGGGAGGGAAATCAGGCCTCGCAACACTCTCATATTTTGACCATGACTGGTTAGAAGTGCAGGGGACGGAACAAGAATTTTGGGCTGCCTTTAAGAGAATGGTGGTGACTGAGGTGAAAAAGAATATCTAGGGCACCTGGCTGAGTCAGTTGGTGGAACATGTGACTCTTGATCTTGGGGTTGTGAGTTCGAGTCCCATGTTGGGTGTAGAGATTACTTAAAAATACAATCTTAAAAAAAAGATAAAAAATATCTAAGCCTCATTCACAGACTTATCGTATGTTGGAGCTGGAAGAAGGTCCCACTGAACAGCAGTGAACACCGTGGTTAGGAGCTCCAGTTCCGGGGCCAGATTGCCTGGCTATACTCCTTACAATCATTTGACCTTGTCTGTCTACTTAACATCTCCATGCCTCAACTGACTCCTCTGTAAAACAGTATGTTCTTCACAGGATTATGAAACTCAAATGAATTATATAGGTAAAATGCTTTGTATTGTGGTCCATAGTAAGCATATGGCAAATGTTAGTTATTATTGTCCTAATCTCTTCCTTATTTTTACAGATGAAAATATTTAAGTGAACAGAAAGTTGGAGGAAAAATAAATGCCAAAGCCAGGTGTCCCGATTCTCACAATATTACACAGATTTTTTTCTCTTATACCCCACATATTTAACAAATGGAAAGAAATAAATAATGAATCATTTAAATGATCATGAAGGGGATACTTAGTTTATATATAAGTCCCTTTTCCCCTCTAAGACTGAAATATTCAAACACACCTTTGCCCAGTTCTTTTCCCTAATACCTAGTGGACCAGACTGATTCTACAGAGGCAAGTGACAACGGGTCAGAATGCCGTGTGAAGATTAACATTACGTAATAGCAAGGGCACCCTTTGCTTCCTTACCTTAAACTTGTCAACTTCAGCTTTTGAACATGTTGCATGGTATGACAGTACCTGATTCAGAAGAAAAGGGAAAAAAAAACCCTTTAATAACTAGACATGACTGTTTTCTGAAATTCTCCTGGCTTATAAATAAATGCAGTTCATTATGTCACCTTGAAAATAGTGGATTTTTTTAATTGAAGTATAGTTGACATACAATATCCTATTAATTTCTGGTATACATCAGAGTGATCTGATACTTTTATACATTACAAAATGATGCCCATGATAAGTCTAGTTACCATCTGTCACCATACATTTATTACAATATTATTGACTGTATTTTTTATGCTGTACATTATATCCCAGGACTTACTTATTTTCTAACTGGAAGTTTGTATCTCTTAATCCCCTTCACCGATTTCATCTGCCCCCCTACCCAACCCTTCCCGTTTCTGGTGACCAAAAGTTTATTTCTTGTTTCAATGAGTCTGTTTCTGTTTTGTTTCATTTGTTCTTTTGTTTTGTTTTTAGATTCCACATATCAGATGTATGATTTGCAGATATCTTTTTCCATTAAGGAGGTGGCCTTTTGGTTTTGTTGATGGTTTCCTTTGCTGTACAGAAGCTCTCCAGCTTGATGTAGTCCCATTTGTTTATTTTAGCTTTTGTTGCCCTTGCCTGAGGAGACTGGTCCAAAAAAATTTTTTTGCTAAGACTGATGTCGAAGAGCTTACTGCCTATGTTTTCTTTTAGGAGTTTTATGGCTTCAAGTCTGACATTCAAATCTTTAATCCAATTTGAATTTATTTTTGTATATAGTGTAAGACAGCAGTCCAGTTTCACTCTTTTGTGTGTAGCTTGTCCGGTTTTCCCAACACCATTTATTGAAGAGACTGTCTTTTCAACAGGGGATTTTAATGTGCATGAAATTTCCAATAACTGTGACACAGATTGTTATCTGTGCAAGTGCAATGGAATCTATTATAATGCTGAATGGAACTGCAGCCCACATTAAAGGCTAAGTATTGATGCTTGGAGGAGCAAGATGGCGGAGGAGTAGGAGACCTAAATTTCGTCTGGCCCCAGGAATTCAGCTAGATAGGTATCAAACCATTCTGAACACCTACAAACTCAACAGGAGATCAAAGAAAAGAATAGCAGCAACTCTCTGAACAGAAAAGTGACCACTTTCTGGAAGGTAGGCCATGCGGAGAAGTGAATCCGAGGTGCTATTCGGGAAGATAGATGGCGGGGGAAGGGAGCCTCCATTAGCCGCTAGGGGCAAGTGATAGAGCAGCAGAGCACAAAATCAGAACTTTGAGAAGTCCACTCCGCGGAGGGACATTGCTCCAGTGGCTAAGCAGGGGGTGGAACCCTTGCTGGGACAGTGTGGTCTCAGGACCATCGGGGCCACAGAAAGACTGGGGGTGCCTGAGTGTGGCACAGCTCCCAGGCATCGGAGCAGGGAAGCCGGCTGCAGAGACGGAGCCGAGAAGTAGGCTCTCAGCTCGGGGTTGCCATAAACCGTGATCCACAGCACAGTTGGGCCACTGCTCTTCCAGCAGGGACCCAAAAAGTGGCAGATCCAGGGAGACTCCCCTTCCTCCACTGGGAGGAATCTGCTGGGTTTGGAGACTCCACACGGGGTCGGGTGCCAGAGATAGAAACACTCAGTCACAGGCCGGGTGAGCATGGAGTGTGGCCGGAGACCGGGAAGACGGGAGTGACTGACTGCTTTTCTCTGGGGGCGCACTGAGGAGCAGGGCCCCGAGTTCTCGGCTCCTCCGGGGTGGAGATTGGGAGGCCACCATTTTCGTTCCTGTCCTCCAAAGCTATACGGAAAGCTTGCAGGGAACAAAAGCTTCTGAGAGCAAACCTGAGCAGATTACTTAGCCCAACCTGGCAAGGGCAGGGCAATTCCGCCTCCAGCAAAGACATTTGGGAACCATGGCAACAGGCCCCTTCCCCAGAAGATCAGCAAGAACAGCCAGCCAAGGCCAAGTTTACCGATCAATGAGAACGGCTGAACTCCAGTGCTAGGGGAATACTGCACATAGAATTCATGGCTTTTTCCCCATGATTCTTTAGTCTTTCAAAGTTAATTATTTCAATTTTCTTTTTTTTCCTTTTCTATTTTTTTTTAATTTTTCTTTTTCCCTTTTTCAGCCAACATCTTATCAATCCCTTTTTAAAAAATCTTTTTTATTTTTCATTTTTAGAGTCATATTCTATCCCTTCGTTGTAGCTAGCCTTATTTTTGGTATATATATGAGTTGTTCTCTCTTTAAAATTTTGGGATACAGTTTCTTCTAATAGACCAAAATATACCCTAAATCTCTAAGTGTATGACTTTGTTCTAGTCTCCTGCCTGATCACATTCTCTCTGCCCCCCCTTTTTAATTTCTCTTCTTTCTTTTTTCAAACAACTTCTTATCAATTCCTTTTATAAAATCTTTTATAATTTTCATCTTTACAGTCATATTCCATCCCTTCATC